TAAAGGAGTTAAGTAATAAAGACAAGAGGTAAGTAAAATGATGCGTAACTAGTAAATTGGGTAACAATGTATTGAGTTCAGCTCAAATCATAGAAACGAGTGACAGGCAAAATTACACTATATCAAGAGGGAGGTTTACGTAAACAAAGTAAGAGAATAAACACATCAAGGAAAGTATGATAACCGCTTCTTTCTGAACACATCAATCTGGTTTGGTAGAAATTTCTTTGGCAAACTTGAGGAGAACCGAGCTCTTTTGTCTGTTGATAATTGTAAAGGGCCTCGCATTTCCACCTCATGACCCGTATCGAGATATCTGGTAACAGCGCAATTATAAAAGTTTGTTCCCTTGAGGCGTAGGCTTTTCGGTGCATGTTCAGAAAACCGGAGGTGTGCTCTTCTTTCTGTTATCCCAAAATAACTGCTCCCACAGATACACGTAAATTTGTATACACAGTTGGAGCTAACATAGGTGGGATATCTGTCGATTTTCGATTGCACCAAAGCGGAAGTTGTTCGATAGACGGAAACCAATTTAGCTACAGGATAGGCTCTGGATAGTGACATACGCAGTCTTTTGTTGACATTTGATGTAATATTTTCACGTTTAAAATATGGTTGAGTGAAGTCAACCTTTTTTCAGCTATGATTTGTTTGATGTTTGAGCCTTGACATCTTCCATATTTGTTAATGAATCTTTGAGGGTAACCGTTGTTTTTCAGCACCTTTTCGAGAATTATAAATTCTTCCTCTAGTTTCTCTGCAGAGCATATTCTCCTCGCTCGATAGTACAGACTCTTGTTCAGTGACCTTTCACAGCTGTTTGGAGAAGAACTATTAAAATGTAAGTATTGTCCTTTGCATGTCAGCTTTCAATTAAAACCGGCCTTTCCTAGAATCAGTGCTAAGGTCCTCTGAATGGTTTGAATAATTCACTACTGATGACCTCTCAAGAGCTCTGAGCATCTTCTACCAGAACTGAAACACATGCTTAGATGCTGCCATTTGGCTGCAAACACTAAAGGTTTCCCTACCTAGAAAGTCATTTGTAAAACGAAAGGATAGAAAGAAACTGAAGAGGCTCTCGAAAAGTTACTTCAAACACCACGACTTTGTCACACTAGGTTTATTACTTAACGCTCTTAGTTTCATCTCACAAGCTCGATATTTGCGTATGAGAAACGAAGAAGGCACCGCGTTAGTCAGGCCTGATAGGGTTTATGCCCCTACGGAAATCCTAAAGAAGCGATTGAATCGCAAAAATCACAGCATTTCTCTCCCCATAGACAAAGGTAGGCTATGGACTAATTCTGCAGACATGTGTGAATTATTCAACAAAAAATTTGCAGCTAACTACCTTTAGCTTATAGTTCCGTTACTCGGTGTACACCCTTCTACTAATATGGTGCAACTTCCATCTCCACCCACACCAAAACAAATAAGTGCCATTGAATTTACTTACGCTAACATTAACCAAACCATTAGAACTCTCAAAAGCTCGAAAGGTTTTGGCACTGACGGTATGTCATCCTATTTTTATAAATATGGTGGCCCTGACATCCCTTACTACTGCTTAAAATATTCACAATGTCGTAAGAAACCCAAAATTACGCGGATATATGGAAAACAACATTTATTATGCCTAAACACAAATGTGGCTGGAAAACAGAAGTCAACAACTACAGGCCGATCAGTATCACACCTATATCATCTAGAATCATGAAGAGACTAGTCAAAGATAATCTACTCAGTCATGTGCTTAGTTGCAACATTGTAAGCCCGAACCAACATAGATTTCTAAAATCCAGATCATGTTTAGGATGACACCCAAACTTCTTCAATTTTGTGACCAACAGTTGTGACAGACGACAACTAGTGCTTGTCATCTACCTTGACATTTCTAAGTCACTTGACCATGTCGATCATTTACTGCTGATACATTAGCTGAACTGCCTAGTAATACTTGACCCACATTATATGTATACTAGGATGGCTGAAATCATTCTTTAACAACAGGTCCCAAACAGTTAGACCTGGGTCAGAGACTTCCAAACCTGGCCGGATCACTTCTGGTGTAGTTCAAGGTAGTTTCACTGGGCCCCTCCTATTTGCACTTTGTATCAACGACATATGAGCTTGCTTCTCACATGGAAAACGATTCACCTTTGCAGAGGATCTAAAAGTAGCCTATATATTCCAGTGTGATGATCAAGAGTACTTCCTGAATGTTGTGCACAATGAACTAGACGTAATCTACAATTCAGTTTGAGAAAATGCGGCGCACTCTCAATCGACATGAAATTGGCGCTTCAATCTGCTAACCCGCTCAGACTCCTAAGTCTCGTTGACTTAGGCCCGAGGTACTCTAGTGACTTAACATTCTCTGAGCAAGTGGTATCACAGACTCGAAAGTCGAGGACGCTCTTAGGATGCATACTCAGGAACTTTCACGACAATGAAGCCAAGCTCATTCAATATGAAACATGTGTAAGGCCACTACTGGAATACTGTACATTTATTATTTGCAGCACTTGCATGCGTAACAAGCTAAAGATAGGAAGTATCCAATGATATTTCACGTCCAGACTACATGGGCACGACTGTAAGAAAGACTACATCTTATGGTGCATGATTCTTGATCTCGACCCACTCTGGACAAGACGACTTATTATAAACCTAGTATTCTTCTTTAAGGCCCTACACAAAATATCATTCTCAGATAATAAGGACATGAGATTCCCAGAGGAAGGCTCCTATGATCTGCGTAACCAAACTTGCACATTGACAATAAAAGCCTCTAAATCAACACTCCGCGAAAGCTTCTTCACAGTCATGTATTCTAAAATATGGAATAGCCTGCCCCTAAATGTCAGGACTTGCTCTTCAGTTATAAGTTTCAAACGTTCTCTGTACAGACTATTTCACTCTACTGATTATATAAATAAACTATTTATTCCTAGAACGAATCAACTATTAGTCTACTACAGTACCTAAACAACACGCTTAAATACCTTTATTGCTCTAAAAACTATTAATAAACTAGTAACATAGATGCATAAAAAGACAGTAGAAATAAATACTTGTCCACTAAATTACAATGTACAACGAATATAAACATATATTTCTCACTCCACTTACTTCTCCTCTGCCATCTGGTACTTTTTTGCTCACCTCTTCTGTTGTATTTGCCTTGTAGTAGAAGTTGCACAGATCTATATTCCGACTAAAGCTGAGAAACAATTGAAGTCACTTACTACTAATATATCATCCCTCCAGGTTTGGCTAGTAATGGCTCAGAATCCTTGATGAAATCCACTGTCGCCATAACAAGACGCTGTACAGCATCTTATACAAGGACTGTCAATGATCTAAAATGGCTTACATATAACTTTCTACGTGTTAATCAACTTACTCGTACGGAACAACCATGCGGTGACAAATAGGGGGCTCTGGCTGACTTGGGTGCAGTAAAACAAATCTGCTTGTCAATGACCAATATCAATCTGCATTCAGTTGAATTCACATCTGGTATTACTTGCAATAAAAGTGATGTCAAAATCATACAAATAAATCACTCATTTTAAATTAATACCCAATTTGAACATAGAACAAGAACAAGATACGATGACGCACACAACAAAGTTATATGGAGGAATTGACTTCAAGCTTTATTTTTTCCCAAATATTTGTAATTTATCCAACACATACTTGGGCTTATTTTGTTAATGCGAAGATAATATTTCTACATTTCTTTGTGTGCTCCATTGAACGACTAGCCATCAGATTGTACTCACTAACTAATGTCAGAGAGGACAGCAACCACGTAATTTCATTATAAATCAAATTCATGTAAGTAAATAATACTTATCCATGCTTGTACAACTGGTGTGTACTACATAGATAGGAAATATATATATATATATAAATGCACGGTGATCTCAAAAGCCAACTTGAGCAACCGGCATCCAGAACTGATACACACCTGGAATTACAATGTGAAATTTCCTTTGTCTGCTTCAGGTTCACACAAGAAGCTGTTTCGCAAGTAGTTTGTGAATAAATAATTTCACATAACTCGTTGAATGAATCTTACCCCTTCGTCAAGCTGACACGAATAAACAAGTAAGTGCAGCAAATGTCTATCATCACTAAGACCCAGTGTGCTAAATAATCAAGCGCCTGACTCAAAAGGTATACTACAGTATACACGTCTCGAAAAACGATTTCCATCAGAATGAAGTTAGACACATGTGAAAAAACCGAGAGCGTGTGAAAACATTCATAAAGTGCGTGCACTGCGAAGAAGACGAACGACATGGGCGTTGATAAGGCATATCCCCTGTTTGAAGTGGCGCCTCCAGCTTTACCTTGAGGACATTTGCGCGGTCTAGTTGATTTCAGTTTGATCTAGGTAGCTGCGTTTGACGTGATTCTGGTTTGTGTTTGGCTTGAACTGTGTTGACTTTGTTGAGAATAGTCATCAAAAGCTGCCTCTAGGCCTGAAGGCAGTTATCGTGCAGTAGGATGCTTGAGAATGTGTTTCATGTGAAAATTATAGGGTGCACCTAAAATCCTCCTGTTTGTGGCGTTTCAATGATTTCTGTAGAGCTTCGTTTCATCACTTGTGTCCATATTTGTCGTTCACGAGTGTTTCAGTAAATCTGACTGGCAATCGGTGGTATGAAGTATATCCGTCAAAGAATAACAAAACCTATAATCGTCGTTCACTACTACTACTACAATCTGTTCTGTTGCCACCGATTGCCAGTCAGATTCTTGTGCTCGAAGTGAGAACCCCAGAGCTTGCAGTTCAGTTCTCCACTATGACTGCCATGTGGAAAAAAACCTTTCCGAAAGCATATATGAAACTGGACTGAATTATTTGACAAGATAACTTTTCAGAGGTAATATAATGTCATGAGATTTGTGTCATTAGAAGGCGAATCAAAATACGTCAATCACTTGTTTAACCACACCGACGGTAAAATGAGTTTTCGACAAACAACCTTGACATTGAGGTGGGCGCTTCAACACTCTTTTAAGAGTGATGATTGGAGGTTATTTCTCCTTTCTGAAGGATGTCCTTTGTACTCAGTGGGCAATAGTCACAGCTTTGTTCCTGTTATTTGCTGTGTATATTACACCGAAGTAACGTCTATTATTCTTGCATCATTGTTTCAGGATTTTAGTTATTGTCTTGTCGTCATTTCTCAGCAAATTCATTCCATGTATCCTCACTGTTCAGAGATTTGGATTTATTTGGGCCCACGGTATAAACATCACGTTTATAAGTGGAGAGTGTATGGTAAATAGTTATCCATTTATAACGGTAACAATTCAGTGTGTGAAAGCTGTATATCTGAGCAGTAGTTTGTGGAACACGAAGGCTAAGTAAGTTTAATTCCTAAAGTCATTTATACAGAAAGAACCTTGGTGTCCGCGGTGGTGACGGGTGTTGAATTTCGTGTAACGGATGTTGGGTTACATAGTATAGTAAAGGTAATCCAACGTAAGGGAGATGACGGAAATCGAAATGCACCTGGGAAATACTCTTTCAAGTCTTGGAGAACTAGATTAATGTCCGTAAGTCTTTATGTAGATAGTGAATTGTTTTGTTAACATGTGGCGTGTGCAGTTTGTCGTCATGACTATTCTAGGATGTTACGTTTTTCGTTTCTGTTCATGGAAACGAGGATGTTTTAGTTGAACCTTTAACGGTGTCGTTGCATTTGGGCTTACCATACGCTTTTATTTTGAAGGGTGGGAGTCACTTGGCGATCGCGCTCCCAGAATTGGTTCAGAGATATTGGAAAGTCATTGGTTGTGGGGATTGTATATATTGTGTACTGGTTCTGTGTAAGTAGAGTGGTATACTTTAAACAGTTGCACTTAGCTGATAGTTACAAATCGAACGGCTTCATAAGTCGTTCTCATGTATTTTTCTGTTTTATAGAAGTGTGTTGAAATTCTAGTATAAATGAGTCTACTGCGGTGGCGAATAAGTGGAAATATGATTCCTTCAATTTTTTATTCCAAGGAGTAAATAAGTGGGTGATATTGTTTTCGAATGGTCTCGTAATCTGAGATTGCAACTAAAAATGATGACACTTTAGTCACAGTCATAATTTATTCAGTAGTCCATCATCTCTAAAGTGTAATGCACACATGTAAAAGCCAGTGTTATCGTTCATCTCGATGTTTGTAAGGTGTGCAAACGTATGTGTTCGAGGTTTCACGTGCGTGAAACTTATTCCTAATTGAAATCGATTTCTTGGGGAAGTTTTCTCTGATAAATTTTATGATTTCATTGCTAGACATAGTATCATTTGGAAGGAATTTGCAACTAAAACCTCACATCTCTCCGTTTTTCAGGCGCATTAACTGACTACAAGCTTTCTCCCCACTTTCTGTGATATGTGGGAACAAAACATGGGCACTGTGGTAGAGTGTAATCCCATCATAGAGTGAATTTATTTGATAAAATCGAAGTGATACAATATTACTTACTGATGGTGTTTCAGGTGCCTGTTCTGCTCATAATCGTATTAAGGCACTCACATAGCTTCCCAACTTCATTCATATAATTCCATTATATCCTATCCTTTGATTTTACTGGTAGTAGTATGCATATATGTATATAATGTGCATGTCATGTTTAATTGGCTTGTGTAGAAATTAGCACTCGAAGTCATGAGGTACATTGATGGACAGTTGCTCAGATTGCTAAATTCATCTACCCTTAGAAATAATCGCGGATGATAAGTTATGTGTTCAAAAATAGTGGTAAGTAGTTGATGAGGGATGAACTTATAAATTATTACTCATTTGTTACTTGTTGCGTAACTTTCTCACACTGAAGAAATTTAGAAAGGTTTTGCTTAATTAATGGTTTCTAGCACCGCTTTACATGTGTTTTCTATGAAAACCCTGTTAAATATCTACTTTTGTAATCTTTTGTTTCCCAGTTCCTTTCAGTAGATATTTCATCCATACAAATAATTGTCTTGTCAACTAAATTTTTGGATGAGACTTATTTCATAAATCGCAAGGAGGATGACAATAGTAGTGATTCTATCTGTCGTCAATGTTCCACTCATATCAATGGTTCCGTTAGTAGTAATTCTCAATCTGCACAAATTCTCAATCAACAAATCCATTTAAACAAAACTAGTAAATTTGCTTTAACTTTACAGTTAACAAATGTAACAATGTTATTTCATGTCAGTATGAGACAGTAAGTTATTATTATTTATCAGATTTATTTGGTTGTCTTTTCTATCTTTATTATTATTATTATTATAAAGAGCCAATTTGGTATAACAAGCGACGTGAAAGTTCTCCTAGCAGGATATTTGTTTAGAGATATCTTTAGCCTTGTAATTTATCTATCCTTCAAGTTTGACCACGCATTGGAAACCACGGATTAGTGGACAGTCGTTTCGTCCCAGTTTTGGACTCTTCATCAGCTCGCAAGCACGATGCGAACCTGGGGCCTCCAGAGTACGAGGCCAAGCTCGTTGACTATTCAACCACTTGGATCGGAATACAATGACTCTTGAATTCTAACTTCTGTCATTTCACGATTTTATTACTACTGCCAGCTAGTGTCATCAGCGCGTATTTGTCCTGGTAGCCGACATGATGGACCCCACTGGTCACGACTTATTAATAGAGTTCCAAGGAGCTTTATCCTATAGTCAGTCACTAGTGAGCATCGAATTAATTTCCAAGAGTTAGTTTGTTGGGATTCGATTTGTTTCAAGTTTGAAATCGGCTGGCAGTTGTGCTAAAGTCACGAGAGGACAGAAGTTAGAATTTAAGAGTTATTGAATTCCGGCGCAAGCGGTTGTATAGTCAACGGGCTTGACCTCGTAACCTAAAGATCCTTGGTTCGATCATCGGCTGGGTTGTAGGTGCGAACTTGTGAAGAGTACAATGCACCTTTGGCTTTCAACGGGTCTCTAACTGATATTAACCCGTGACTAAAAACAAATATAATGCCTATAGACTGCCTCTTGAATATGTCCTTGAAGCCCTCATTGCTCAACCCTGAATATTCTGATTCTAATAGTATCAGTCCTTTTTTTGAAAAAGGGAATACGGTATCAAATGATAGTGCTGTACAGAGAAGAATGAATTTTCATTATGCATCTGTGTATTTTAAATGCACTATTTTGCAATATAAATATTTACCAGAGGGCTCTTTTTGACAAGAATTGAATGCAAGTGGGCTGCTTTTAATCGTGTTTTTGTTATTTTGAAAATGTAATATTACTTAGTAACCTGAGGCATATTTATGCATTAGATCAGTATTTCATACTGCTCGTGTGGGGGCTATTATCGCTATATATAATTCTCTGAACCTTCAGGGGACCAATAATCAAATCTGTAGACTGTTGATTGGAAGTTGACCTATTAAGGTGACTAAACTTTCTTTTTTATCTATAAGTCTGGTCGATAATAGTGGGAGTAGAGAGTAAATACAAGGTTCAGACCTAGACACTATGATGGTACATAATCTTATATCAGCACTGAACTGTTTTCTTGAGCGCCATTTATTGCTCGTATGATATTAGATTAAACAGCTGAGTGAATACTCATTGAAGAAGAGCTGTTAATGTCACTGGTCGTCGAAGCTTTAAGATCTAAAGTATTGTTGAAGTACAGTGGGTTGTATTTTGTTTCAATGATATATATATATATATATATATGAGGATGAAAGTTTTTAGATCGCTGTTTTAATGCCGGAAATAAAGGTTTACCATTTTCGCGGTTTATATTATCGGTAATGTTTTTCTTCTATAAGAAAACCGTCGATTTACACAGCTGCAAAATCTAAACTACTAAAATCATTCTTCTAGATGACTAATTACGAGTTAAGTTTAGTCAAGATGCCAAGCATCTAAATTAGTTGGAGGAAAGTTTAGTTAATCATGAATTATTTGACACTGAACTGGGTAGTCTGACAGTTCTTACTAATGACTGTGCAATGAAATTTCTGTCTGCTGTAGGTGGAAAAAGTGAGAAAGTATGTGAGTCTGACAACTTCCTGACTATAACACAAAGAAACTCTAAGTGAAGAGGGACTAGACAACTGCATGAGTTGATATTTTGTGAGTGTGAGGCACAAAGCGGGAAACCTCAGTTAACCCTCAGAAAATACATAAAAGTAGTGGTTTGTTTGCACCAATGTAAATTTCGTTACTAGGTGTCGGTTTTTGTCTTCAACTATTTACTATTGATACCATTCTCAGAGCTGACTTGTTCACATATTATTGCATCCATAGGTGTTTGAATCTTATCTAAGTGGTTTTATATAAAGTGATGTTGAGGTGAGGCGTTGAATTTTGAGTAAGCAGAGTAACTCAATCGATGGGGTTGTGAAGCTACATCGATTTAAATAGCTATGACATATGTGTTACGCTTGCTGAGTCATCGTCTGCTTCGATGAGTAATGCTATCTGACATAGAATTTGGTTGGAAAAGAGTTGGTGGGTAATCAAGCCAAAAACCTGGCATTATTTCATGAAGTCGGTAGCACAGTGGTTAGGACTCTCGCCGACCATGCACATGGTCCGGGGTTCGAACCCCTGCCGACGCACACCCGATATCAATGGTCGGCCTGCAAAATTTGGACTACCGATATCACATGCTGAAAATTTCAAACTTGTATCGAAAATACTGTGTGGAGTCAAGCTATAATCAAAAAAAGTCTTTGACACTTGCTTTTATCCATTTAAAGAGGTGTAGACTGACTGCCTGGTTGGGGTCCTCGGGATTCTAAGAAGCAGTAGCTAGAGATTATTAATGCTAAGGCTTAAAATTGTCTTTGAATGGCTTAGATGTGTGCTCACTCCTTGTGATCTTGCATTTCCATTCACCTCTCATTTCTTTCTATGCGTTTCTCTTACATACTTCTGCTCATCATAGTTCTTTTGAGTCTCTTTCTTTTCTCTGTTTTTGTGTGCTACATGAAGTCCTTGATCATAGGTGTCTGCGTTCTATCTTCCGTGTGAAGTGGTATAATAAGGTGAGCAATATTGAGGTTAGGCGTCTTTTGCTAGGTAGGGAGGGGTAATCAGTCGACGAGGCTGTGAAATTACATCGACTGAGATGGTTAGGACATGTGTTACGGATGCCTAGTCATCGCCTTCCTCGACTGATGGGCAATGTTAGCTGATATAGGGTCAGGCTGGAAAAGAGCTAGCGGCAGTCAAACCAAAACATGGCACCATTCAACGAAATGTACAACAGTTAGTCTAGGCCACGTAGGAAGGTGTAGACTTCCTGACTGGTTGGGGTCCTCGGGACGGTAAAAACCAATGGTTGGAAACAATTGGTGACATGGCTCAAAATCGTTCTCAATGGCTGGTGCAGATGCATCCACTCCTTGTGACTTATGATTTCCAATGAAACTTTTGTTCTTCATTATTACTATTCCTTTGTCTCACACCTCTGTTTACTGTCTATATTATGCATTTCTTCTACTTTCTTCTCTTGCTTTGTGTGCTACAAAGAGGGAGTGTGGCGACTTGAACTGTCGTACATATGTGCAAAGTTCTATGTCGAAAACAGATAGACAGACAGACATGAAGTGTGGTAACTTGAACTGCTGTTGTACTTCAGTGCAAAGTTCTCTGTTGAAACTCCAATCAGTTAGACATATTATTGCCTAATAAAATCGAATTGTTTTATTCATCCTACTTTCACTGAAATAGCATGTCAGATTCAAATTCAATTACACATTGATATCGATTAGAGAACCATTCAAAACTAGGGACTCTTCGGTAGTACGCAGCCATGATCACAAGCCAACGACCTGCAAAGAAGGCCACTGATCATTCAGCCACTGGAATTCAATAGCCTTGCATGCATACTGTCGAAAAGTACTTGATTAGGACGAAACAGCTGTCCATTACTCTATGCGTTTCAATGATTCTCGAAATGATGGGAATTTGTGTGATCTGACGTAAATAAGAATTTACTAATTTTCTTATCTTGCTTAAAACACTTTACTTAGAGATAACACTTTTAATCCCCACTCCCCCCTTCTTTTTTTCTAAAATTTCAAGGGTTTATGTGAATCTACATGTGTCACATATTTGTGGAAAGTTATTGTGTATGCCAGTATTCTCAGAGAATTGGTTACACAATGATATAAACAAGAATTGGGATGTTATGTTTGAAAATTGTTATATACTGGGTCATCTTCGATTGCGATTGTTTATTAGTACGCTTTTAGAGCTTCAAAATGTTAACAATTCCACATCAATGAGTTCATTTATTAAATCAATAGATTTAAAATTATATGGATTACGTGTTGCTGTATTAGAAGGTGAGTTTTTATTTTGTCAACGTATTTTATTGAATCTCATTAATGTAATTTCATAAATAGAATTGAAATCGGCTTTAATTCAACATGTATAGTGTTGTGTCAGTATTAAAGAAGAGAATTCGGACACATGATGCACGTTCCAACAGTTCATGGACTTCAGCCGTACATATGGTATCAATGACTGGTGATTATAGCTGTCTAGATAACGTCACAGTCCTTGATTGTTATCCCACCCGCGTACCTACATAATTTTTCTCTTGCACTGTGCGTGGGTGGTATAGCGGTTAGAACGCTCGCCGACCATACACATAGTCCGGGATTCGATCCCCGGACGACGCACTCTTTTACCTCGCTAAGCCAGAAATAATGCTGGTGAAGAGGAAAGGTTGGGTATGAGGCTGGCAACCCCATCCTGTAAAAAATAAAAACTGCTACAGAAACTTCAAGTCAGTGGCTTGAAGCCTTACGTTACACTGGGGAACGTGAAGGAAAAAAAACTGCACAGGAAAACAATATTCTGTTAAGTGGATTTATTCAGGGTATATATCACCAAATAGCAGAATGAATTTAAAAAAGGTCACTCCCTTGACTTATCTAGGAAGCAGTGTTTCAACCACAGGCGGAACGGTTGAGGATGTCAAAATCAGAATCGGAAAGGCAAAGTACACCTTTAACACTCTGAAACCAGTATGGAAATCTTCTGCACTCACTCAACCAGTATAAAGAGCATGATTCGAGTTTTCAACACCAATGTCAAGTCATTCAGTTCTTCTAATATGGGTCAGAAACTTGGTCAGCGCGTCACGAAAAGCATTTCCATTAGGCTTCAGACTTTTATGAACATTTACCTTCGTTGGCCGCATACTGAAGATCAGGTGTCCGACCAAGAACAATTAGCAGCAAGAAACTATGGAAACAAACCAATCAAGAACCTATTGCTCAATAAATATGTAGAAGAAAATGGAGATGGTGTTTGGGTACATGCTGAGGAGACCGTCGAATGACATCGTGTGCCAGGCCAGGTCTCGCGTGGAAACAAATAGTTTGGCTTTGGCTTCGAGTGACATGGAGGTAAATGTGCGAGAAAGAGATGAGAGATTTTGGGCAATCGTGAGGAGGACAGCAGGAAATAGAACAAAGTGGAGATGTGTTGTTGAAGCCCTCTGTTTCACTTGCAACCCAAAGGAATAATAATAACAATAATAATAAATATCACCAAATCCCAGAAGCCGCAGAAGATATTGAGAAAAAACCCATCACAACACCTTTGAGACTCAGAATTTCTGCGCATGCAGTTTTGATCTAAAGAACATTGCTCATTCGTTCCAACGCTTTACAGACCAAGTTACTGAAGGTCTTGGCTTCGTTTTTCTATATATATCGACGACGTCCTCATAGAAGAAATTTCTGTGGATGAGTGTATAGGTAACTTAAATACCTTATTTCAAAGTTTTGAACAATTTAGAGTAGTAATTAATTCCACAAAAGTGTATATTTGGTACTTCTTCGATAGAATTTTAAAGACGTCGAATCACACCAAAGGGTATTGAGCATATAAAGGAAGAGATAAAAATCATTAAAGCCTTCCTTGAATCAGGTTCCTCGAAGAGACTTATTATTATATGACAAGGTAGGGTGTTGTTAGCTTGTGACGGGTTCCCACTAAATTTAATCAGTAGTATGTGGGTTCGTAATCAACTGACCTACGTTACCATGATGATTGTAGTCAGCAACCTTGTGTTTTAGTGTACGAATAAAGTTAAAATCGAATTGTTCCCAATGGGTAATCCTGTATGTTGTCATAGTTATTCTAAGGTCTCCTTCATCCGACATTTGAACCAGTTAGAGGCTTTTCAATTAGTTCAGCAGCATACTTTAACACTGCGTGAAATCTACATCCAGCAAACAAAAATGCTTGACTTCGGGGTCTCTATATCAATTGGATTGATTTTGGGGAATAGGGTCGGTAGTTTCCCACTCAACCTATCCTCTTTCTCTGGACTAAGGACTAACCAGTAAACCAGGTAACGCGTATTGGCAAGGATTTTCAACAGACTGCAGACTTCTATAAACACTTGTCCAATCCTCTCGATACTCAAGATCAAATGGCCAGTCAGAAAAGATAAGGAACAAGGAATTCTGGCGAGCAGCGAACCAACCGAGGATCTGTTACCCCCAAAATATGTAAAAGGAAATTGAGATGGAATAGACCATACGCTATGTAGACCATTAAGTAAGATTACACACCAGTCAGTCGGGTCAGAAACGGGAAGTTGGATATGCAGAAGAATATTTTGTGAAGAGGGAATAAAATTTTGTGGGCAGTCGTGTGCAGCTAGTTAAAAAAGACAGCAGAGTGGAATGAAGATGTGCTGCTGTTTCACTTGGAGTGTAAAGGGACGAGCAATAAATAATACTGATAATATTGCAGAAAGATTCGGTATATTGCATCGTATTCCTTCAAACCAACAACTGAAAATTCACCTAGTGCTCACTACAGGATGAAGTTGCCTAACGTTCTGGTGGAAATTCATAACCATCAGGGTTCACCAAGTTGGGTGTGAGAACAGGTACTCACCGATAATAATGGCTGGTGGTCGTGACGTATGTCGCGAATTGGCAGAAGTTAGTATTGATGGGCCATTGTATTCTTTCTCAGTGGATGTAATGATCAGCGAGCTCTCCTTGCAATCTGGAGATCCTCGGTTCGATCCCTGGTAGAGCCATTGGTGCGTACCGATGAGGAGTCTCAGAAAAGGACGAAAAAGCTATTCAATACTCCCTCATTCTCAGTGATCAGAGTTGAAATCAGTGAAATGTCTGTAAGCCAACACCATGATTCTGGGTTTCATGTTTGTTGAAAGTCAGTAGAATGGCGTACCTACGACGTTAGGGAAATTTATATTGCCTTAGATTCAAACCTGCTTCATTCAATAACCTTGAAGTGTCACATCATCTAACGACTTTATTGTGTACTTGATAGGCGAACCTTGGTAAAGGTTTGATTTTGTCAAACTATTCATAAGTAAGAAGATGAATATCGTTATTGCATTGTGTAGAATTCACTGCAACCTGGGCAGATGACATAGTCCTGTTAGGGGAGGATGCTGACAAAATACGAAGTCTTCTGAACACCTTGAGCAGCAATCTTTGAAAGTTTTGGCATGCGATTTGCCCCTGTAAAATGTAAGATGCTGCTACAGGACTGGACTACGTCAACTCCTAGCTTAGTGATAGGGAGTTAAGTGATAGAACATGTTGACCACTTCACCTATTTGGGAAGTTATATCAGCGCCAACGGACTGATTGGTGACGAAATCTCAGCACGGATCCAAAAAGCTCGAACTGCTTTCTCTAACTTACGCCATCTCTTGCGTAGGCGTGACATCTGGCTATCAACCAAGGGGCGTGTGTACTGCTCAGCAGTTCGCTCCGTCCTTCTCTATAGCTGGCTCTGAAACATGGCCAATACGAGTTGAAGACATGGAAAGGTTGACTGTTTTTGATCATAGATGTCTACGATCTCTCTCTCACGTTGGGTGGCATATTAAGGTAAGTAATGTTGACGTTAGGCGTAGAGTGTTGGGCAAAGAGGGAAAATCAATCGACGAGGCTATAAAGTTACACAGATTGAGATGGCTAGGTCACGTGCTGCACATGCCTAACCATCGCCTACCCCGACGGACGGGCATTACTAGCTGATATAGGTAGGTGCAGGTTGGAAAAGAGTAAGTGGTGGCCAAACAAAAAAATGGCCTCATGAATCCATTAAATCCTTGACAGTTAAACTGAGTCAGGTAGGGAGATGCAGACTTCCGAGTTGGGGCCCGCCCTCGGGACTCTAAGAATCAATGGCTGGAGACAATAGGTGACATGGCTCGAAATCGTTGTCAATGGCTTACGTAGATGTATTCAGTCTCTGTAATCTTTCATATTCCTTTCTACCATTACTCACTCTGTTTCACTCCTATACTTGTCAAAACTCTATTGATTCTCTTCACTCGTCTTCTTGTTTACCTTTGTGTGCTACTTGGAACGTGGCAACTCGAACTGCTGCACTTCGGTGCCAAGTTCTATGTTGAGTCGAGACAGACAGAGAAACAGACTACAACCTGGGGCTTATTCACTTCTGTTAGTTCTGCCAGCTTGCTTTCACTTTATCAGGCAGCTGTTATAGTCTGTCAGAAACATTTTCTGAATGTTGACGAAGGCGGCATATAGTCTTCTAGTTATTGGGGGGGGGGGTATAGAAATCGTGAAGTCTTTCCTTTCACTTGGCTTTTGAAAACGACGAACCAAGTATGCGTGTAGTCTGCGTCTAGATACCATGTTGGTCCCATGATCTTAAAAAAAATAATTTTTGTATTCTATTTAATTAACTATCCTATTTACATACATCAGTTTTCAATCCTGATCACAAATACCATCACAGTACTTACCTTTGAAATAATAAAGACAATTTGTAGCTCAGGTGGATAATTTTGATGTGGTCGAGTTCTTTGAGCTAGCTGGGTGGTTTCATTTCCATGCTGTCGTTCATTTTCATTCTAGACAGCATCTTCAGTACAGATTTCAAGGTACGAAGTGAACTTATTTTGAATTCGCCATGAATGATGATATAGTTTAAACAAAGCAATAAGAAAATGTCATTTGTCTGAATCGTGTAATGCATTTGCGTAACACACTTCGAATAATCTGGTCCATCACACATGGACTTGTCATAGGAATATATATGCGGAATTAATAAAAAGTTAAGAGGTAAGGAGAATAAATTTAGGTCAAGTTAAAAGGACATATTGAAGGTCTAAGTAACAATCAAGACCGCTAAACCAAATAAGAGAGGTAATAGCTCATCTTCCCTGATATCAAAACAAAGTTTACCAAAAAAGGTTTAGCGTGATGACGAATTGTTGCTTTGATCACATAAAGGTGGTTTAAACTTCTTAATTGGCAGCTAGGGCTTCCACAAACTTTAGGATACGCCCTCCCCCTAATCAGTTTTATGGATAGGTTTAAAAGACGTGTGTAAACATTAATTTTATGTCCTGTTTCTATAATATGTTTCGCAATAGAGGATCTAGGTCTCCAGTTCTCACTATTAATTAATGGGTTATGGGGATTATATATGCTTCTGAAGCCAGTCCTTACTTGCAGAGATCGATGAGTCCTCCCTATGTATGTGTGACCACACGTACATTCGAATTGGTAAATACAGTGAGAGGATGTGACATCATTTGCATCATGTTCAAAGGGTTTAGATGGATATATTGGCTTCACATTCTCAATTATAATGATCTTAGATGCATAGAAAGTCTTTTAACCATAGAGTTCAACCGTTGTCGAGTTACCAAACCGATATTATTCCCCATATAGGGTACCTTATATTTACATTTTTCTTGGTGGCGAGTTGAAGAGTGGGTCTTGGTGTTCTGAATACTTTATATCTCCTAATGAACTTGTATGTATAATTGTTATCAACCAGAGTTTGTGTCAACTTTCTTTCTTCCTCTTAATGTGTGTCTTCAGTGCATATTCGTTGGATTCTACTAAAGAGACACTTTACGAAGGCTGTTTTGTATCGAACAGGATAGAAACTGTCATAATTGAGATACTGTCCTTTCCAGGTAGGCTTTATATAAATAGATCATTATACTGATTCATCATGCCGTTGAGTAAGCAATATATCTAGGAAAGATGAACAATTATCTTCCTCTTTTACAGATGTAAGTGATATGCTATTCTGAACTTCATTCATTCGGTTTAAAATTGAGGTGGTAGAGCAAGGCTTGTCACTTATGATTACAATGTCATCTACATACCTTCTATAAGGTGGTGCATTTTCGATTAAGTCTTCCGATAAACTTTCAATATACGACATATAGATATCTGCTAAAAGGGTCCCCAATGGACTTCCCAGATATAATTGTCTCTCCTGACAAGCTTTGTCGTGATTGGCTGTTAATTTACACCAATAAAAACGATCCATACAGATGCAAATTAACAACCAATCACGACAAAGGTTGTCAAGAGATACAATTATGTCACCAATCATGGAGATTTCAAATAAATTGTTCAATTTTACATTAAACTATGATGTCTCTAATTTACAAATATGCTTTTGATGTATTTTTTTCTCTCCTTCAAATGAAGAGTTAATTGATTTGTTAAATTGGAAGCTGTTTACAAGTCAGACGAGTGTTTTGTTATCTGCATCATCGAATACCTCATCTACGCTTTCTTTACCACTAACCCAGTCACTACCTTCAACAATAACACCACCATACACCACTCATTGCCATCTAATCAATCGTCATCATCAGATCGAAAATCAGACATTGAAACATCCTCCTTTCGGTTTAAAACAAGAACACGAGGACAGTTCACTCTGTGATAATGAAATGATTCAGTCATATTTTCAATCTGTTCAACAGATGAATCATTCAATTAAATTGTGTATAGCATTTCTACCCTTGGAATGTATGCTACCCAACGAACAACAAGAAAAACAAAACCAGGAAAATTCATTTTTACCAGAAATGGGATTTCATTTTGAAATAATTCGATATTCGTTTAAAAGGTAAATAATGTCGTTAGTTGTGGTTTTTGTTTGTTTGTTCGATTGTGTTGTTGTATGTGCATAATGACTCTGTTTCTAGAGGGGGTGGGTCAATTATTGAATCCAAGTGGCGATAGGTTGTAAAAAAGAAACTAACAGCAGCCAGCCCTAAATGTGAATATTCGTCATTCACATTGGAGGTTTGGCTTTTTATTCTTGGCCGATACGTTCCTAAACCTCACCTACTTTGATTGTGCACTGGTAACTAGTGTGATGTGTCTAGTCCTCTGTGTTTGGTGCAGACTGAATTGTATAAGTCAAGTTTGCATTGTGGTGAGCATTCTAGGTGACCCGCCATCACGGTGCACTTTGTTGATATTGTCGATATTAGATGGTTGGCGGCAATTGGCAGCAAACCCTGCTTGATCTAGGTTTCGTGCTAGTTGGCACTCACCAATCAGTCAGCAAGGCGTATTCGCAACCTTGAAGGAGCTCATGTCACTTCTGAGATTCGAACCCGCGTCACCCAGTGAGTACTGCAGTCAGAGACATTACCACTGAGCTATTCTGGCTGGCGAGCGACCTCCCTTGGAGACTGTATTGGATACTTTCATTGGACACTAGTAACTGGTGTGATGTGTCTAGTCTCTGACTGCAGTACTCACTGGGTGACGCGAGTTCGAATCTCAGAAGGGACATGAGTTCCTTCAAGTTGGTTGCAGATACGCCTCGCTGACTGACTGGTGAGTGCCAACTAGCACGAAACCTAGGTCGGGTGGGGCTTCCTGCTGATTGCCTCCAACCATCTAACAAACCTCACCTAGTTTACTGGCCGGTAGTATGTTTGGAAAAGATGGGAGGATGGATGTTAGGCTGGCTAACCTGGAAATCATACCAACGCTTATTTTTAATTATTATTATTTTCAAGTATTGGTTTTGTAAGGATTTTGTTTGATTGGTTGGAGGATTTCATGATGAGCTGACATCATCCGGAGAACCACTGGAAAACCTGGGAGTACTGGACAGCTGTTTCGTCCTAGTTTGGGACTCTTCCTCAGTACACAACCACCGGAAAGGTTAAAAGAAGGTCGAAGATTGATGTAGTGGTTAGAGAATTATCTTCAACTGGTTAATTCGAATGAGTACTTATCGCCTTTGTACTTAGTGGGCACCAGGAAATGCCCCACACAAACTCTCATAGTTTGTGTGATGGATGGAAAACTGCTTAGACGTTCAGACCGACTCACATGATTGTCTAAAGGGGCTACTCCCTGAACCTTTGAATTGAAGTCTGATCCATAAGTCAGTGGAGTCTTGATGCAATTGTCCTTCAGCTTAGCACTACATCTGCGCTTCTTTTGAAAAGTTCTTGGACTATTGATTAGTGAAAGGTAAGCAAGCCACTATAAGATCCTGTGAATATGAGTGGGGAGGTGTGGCTCATTAGCTTAAGTGTTCTACTTCTAACGAGTGCGTCCAGGACTTAAATCCTGATTCACCTGTTTCCAGCCTTGTACCTGGAATGTCTGTCCCAAGTGGTTGTGTTCTAACCTACGTTGTCCAAATTCTTATCCTGTATGTGGTGCTGTATTGTTTACGGTGATTCGGCACATTGACTTACTCATACTGCTCAGCCTTCACCTACTTTAGGCCTAAGAAATTGGGTGGCATCATCAGCTCTTGTGTGAAAAGTACCGTTAAGGTTAACTGAATTCTAGTCATACGTGTATTGTATTATAGGACCTGGAGGCTAAATTCACAACTTCACTTGTGTGTAGTGTTGTTCTTATAAAATCATTCCCTGTCTGAATAGTCAAGTAGTTCAGTCTCTCTGAAAACGAAAAGCTTGTATAAATACGACTCATTGATGATAAGTGGAAAAGAATTCAGAGCCTTCTTTTCATTTGCTTGCATTCCGAGTGGGCCATAAGTCTTCAGGCTTGTATTTGTTACGCGGTGGAGGCGTTGCTAGCTTCACACTCAAACTCTCTTTCCTGAGCTTGCCACCTAGGTGAGGTTTAGGAGTGTGTCGGCCGAGAGTCGAACCCCAGACCGCTGGAGCACTCACTCATTAACTGGACAATTATACACTCAGCCCAGCCTGTTGCAAGACTAGAACTGCATGCAATATCATCCTGTGGCGTAACCAATCGGGTGCCTCATCTTTCAAGTAGAATATCTCAAAAACTAACTATGAAGTATATATATATATCCTTAAAGTTTTAATACTTCTGTTTCCCTATTTCTATTTCTCTTACATTTTATAGGAGTTTACAATTGTATTTTATATCTTCGCATTTATCTATGGAATTCGATTTGCTGCTAACTAATAGTAGAATGGATATACATGAAGATTCTTCTGCAACATCTAATAATTCACTACTCACTGAGCATTATTCTACTCATCATATCAGTAGTATTAGTCTTTCAACTTTTCGATTTCATTTGGACAATTTACGTCTATTGAATGGTTGGAATAATCAGACTGAATATTGTCTATTAGATGTCAGGATTCATTTAATTGAAGTGACTGAACAAGTAAGTCTGATTCTATAAGTAAATTTTATTGTAATCTTATTATTGTTATTCGTTTGTTGTGTTCCTAGTGGAACCAAAGCGTTCCGACAGTACATCTCCATATCATCCTGCTCTCTGTAGCCGTCTTTAAAGTGGGCTCCAGAACTGACCATAGACTGTCGTCTCTCCCACACACGATCTCCATGTGCCACCCTCGAATGTCACCCACTCATCGTTTCCCATTGGGGTTCCATTCAAGCAATGGCCTGGTGCGCGATGTTATTCATCAGTGGTATCTCTTCAGCGTGTGTCCTATCCATCTCCATTTTCTCCGGCTTTTTTTTCTTTGGGTGGGTGGTAGTTTCTTGCTTGGTTCACTCCCAGAGAGAGTTCCTTCTTGCTTATCCTCCCCTATCGGCCACCTAATCTGAAGTATCTGCAGACTAGCCTGTTAGAAATACTTCTTGTGGCGCACGTCAAGTCTTTAAATCATAAATAAGTGCTAACTTCACTCGCTAGCTTTGAGAATTCGATTATTATTTGTTATTAACGCTTACTTCATACTGATTTCAGAATAATAATAAAGGTATTTCTTGTCTTTCTGATTCTGCCTAGTTTTGACATTTTCATCCTGTAGTTGAAACGATGTTGCTTACTTAGGTGGAAGAAGTAACTTCCTTCAAAATTTCTCCTGTTGATAGTGATTGGTATTTGTTCTTGTTGATTGGGTATCGTGATCGTTTTTGTATTCTCTATGTTTACTTGAAATCGTGTCTTTGCCTGCCTACTTTATCTGCTAACTTTTTCTTTTTCACCTGCAGATCTTCGAGTTTGAATGACATTAGACATAAACCTCGCCTAGTTTACTAACCGGTGCTAAGCCCGGAAAAAGTCGGACAGACAAGGTTAGCTGACATAGGATGGATCATGTTGGAAAAGGGCTATTGGTGGTCAAACGAAAACATGGCTTCATCAGTCAATGAATTCCACTACAGTTAGTTTAAGCTGGCCAGCCATGTAAGAAGATGTGGACTTCTTGGCTGGTTGGGGTCCTCGGGATGATAAATACCAATGAAGTCTGGAAACAATTGGTGATATGGCTCAAAATCGTTCTCGGTGATGGCTGGCGCAGATGCATTCATTATTATTATTTATTGTTCCCTTTAATTCCTAGAAGAACATAGGGCTTCAGCTGTGCGTCTCCATTGCGTTCGGTTCTCTGCTAGAGTCTTCACCTGGCTCCAAGTCTGCCCACACGTTTTCATCTCCTCTTCACATGACCCCCTAAAAATCACTCTTACACTGACGACCAACTCGCCGCTTCCCTTTCGGGTTCCACTCGAGCGATGGCTTGTCTAGTGATGTTACTTGGTGGTCTCCTCAGAGTATGTCCAATCCATCTCCATTTCCTTCTGCATATTTGTTTCACAATCGTTTCCTGCTGGGTTGGTTCGCTCCCAGAGATCTCTGTTGCTGATCTATTCTGGCCATCTGATCTTGAGTATTGAGCAACTGTTGATGAAGGTCTGTAGTTTGTTTGAGATGCTCTTTATGACGCGGAGTGCAAGTCTCTGATCTGTATAGTAGCACTGACTCTGTGATTTATATTATCCTATAGAATTTTATTGTTCTTCCATGTTACAATTCTTTTTGCCTCACACTTATGTTTATTATCTCTCTCTCCCTCTCTTTTGAATCTCTCTTTACTCTCTTGCTTTGTGTGATGCATGAAGTGTGGCCTACTGCACATCTGTGCTAAGGACTACGTTGAAATCAGTCAGTCAGTTTCTGGAATCAGAGAGACTGAATGATGCCGGCTTGTGAAAGTTTTTCAGGAAGCCAGTCAGTCGATGTGTCTGCTTTTGATGACAGCAAAAATACACAAGAGGACATGGTGTTCAAAGCTGGCAAAGCCTCCCAGATTGTAAGAGAAATGAGGAAATGTAATATAAGAAGTGCTAAACTTCTTTGGGAGCCATTACGTAACACTTCATTAGATTCATGAATATCATAATTGACATAATCCTGATATTACAGATCAGTATAAGTAGATTGCAATAAATAATTAAATGATTTTTTCAAGTTTGACCGCGTGTTGATATCAGTTAGAGAGTAATTAAATACCAGGGTGTACTTGACGTCTGTTTTGTCAGCCTAGTTTGGGTGAGATTCATCGGCAGTACGCAGTCATTGGAACCCAACTCAATGACCAGCCTATGAATTCTAACTTCTACCAATTCGTGATTTTGGCGTGACCAGAAGTCAATGTCATTGATGAGTATTTGTCTTCACTCTCGACTTTGTCTTGTAACCGGAAGGTTCTAGGTACAATCCCTGGCGGTAGGTGCCTACGGTTGACGAGTCTCAAACTAGGCTGACGAAACACCTGCTCAGTACTCCCTAGTGGTTTTCAATGTTTCTCTAACTGATATCAATTATTCGTGATCGAAATTGAAACATATCAAATTCCTGCTGAAATAACTTTTGCAAATCACTGTATAACTTTAGAAAGAAAAGAATACTCCATCCATCTTGAACCGTCATCTGTTTTGCTCTATGATTGATATAATAAACATTTTTTCCTGTCTAATTTGTGGATGGTGACTAGCAGTGGAATCCAGAGTGCACACTTCATCCTATTTGGAACTCGCCAGCTGGATTTACCTGCATTCTGCAGTGAGTAATGATGTTCTCACCGAGGCTCAAACCCATTGCCCATAGTTTCAAACGCCAAAGCGTTATCCACTAGACCACTTGGGCACTGGGTTCGAGCCTCGGTGGGAACATCATCACTCACTGCGGAATGCAGGTAAATGCAGCTGGCGAGTCCCAAATAGGATGAAGTGTGCATTCTGGATTCCACTGCTAGTCACCATCCACCAATTAAATACTAATTAAATACCCAGACATCGTCGAAGCATCTGCACAAGAAGCCGACATGTCAACCTGAGACCGTGCACTTCGGTTCAATCATTAATCGACGGGAAAATCTAAAATTTAATTCAATTTTTTTCTGTCGTTTAGTGTGCTTGTGTATTTGTGTGTGTATGTGTGTGTTTGATGTACGTGTACAATACATTTTGAGTGGCACACTCACCTTCCCACTCACTCACACACACACGCATAAATTTTGAACGGGGTCATCTAAAATGATTTTAATTTTCACGAGAAATGAAGAAAAAAGAAGAGAAAAGTTTAGACATGTTTTTGTTTTAGATAACATTTCATCTGATTCTTAGGAAAGTTGTATGATAATAAGTAAAGTGGTGTTTTTTTTTCTGGTTGTGGCTGTGTTATGGTGATAGTGACCCTTACAAACAGGACAGATTAGTTTTGCCAGAGTATAAAATTTAACACTGGTGATTGTTTTTATAAAGTGGTTGAAAAGCTGTTGAATTTATCCAATGTGCAACTTGTATATGTATTTGTGTGAAAGGTGCCTACCGATTGGAAGAAAGGCTGGCTACTTTGTCAAGCTACCAAAGAAAGGCGAGTTAGGCTTCACTCTGCAAGAACTGACTGGCGTGGAATAATGCTATTGTCCACCTACGCAAAGTAAAATACTAAGTCACACCATTCTGGAGAGAATAAAAGATGCACTGGATGCAGAACTCCGCTGGCCCGGAACAAGTTAGATTCAGGAAAGGCAAATCATGTGCTGATGAAATTGCAACTCTACGCATCGTCTTCACAGAACAAGGTATAGAATGACAGTCAAACGTCTCTCTACTTCAACTTCATCGACTTCGAAAAGGCCTTCGACAGCTCAGCGTTGACTGAGAAATAGTTTGGAAACTACTTCAACACTACGGTGTGCAGTTTCCCAAATCGTTATCAACCTCATTCAACAGTTGGCTATATGACAATGCCACGTGTCAGGTGATCCATAAGGGGAAACTTATTAAGGCGTTGGAAGTGAGTACAGCAGTAAGACAAGCTGGCTGCCTGTTATCTCCTGCGATATTCGTGATTGCGGTGGAGTGAGGGGGTATCATGCAACAACAGACCGTAGGGAGCTAGGAGACACGCGCACATTGGGCCGATAAGAAAACCTTAGAAGAGCTGGATTTTGTGGACGATTTGTGTTTAGTGTCACACAAAGATCTCAAGGAGCTACAGAAGTAAACCAACCAGTTGACAGAAGAGGCAAGCAGCGAAGACCGGATTTCAAGTGAAAAGACAAAAGACAGGTGATGAAGACATCCCACAATTAGAAACAGGCAACAATCACCATCAATGGGAGTAATCTAAAGGGAGTCATCACTCTCACTTATTTGAGCAGCATCATTTAAACTACAGGATCGGGAAAGCAAGACAGATATTTTTCTGAAATCAGTGTGGAACAAAATTAGGATTTTCAACACACCAATGTCAAGTTAATTCTTCTATATGATACAGAAACTTGGTACGTCACCGGAAGCATTTCCTGCAGACTTTCATTAACAGCTGCCGTTCTTGCTCCATACTGAAGATCAAATGTCCAGATGGCATAAGTTATAAGGAAATCTACCAGGAAGCGAACCAATAAAAAACCTATATCGGTCAGAGAAGCATTGGAAAATCTGCGAGTACTGGACAGCTACCTCGTCCCAACTCGGGACTCTTCATTAGTACGCACCCACCGGGGCTCAAACCAAGGACCTTCCGGCTACAAGACAAACTCATAGACCACTCAGCTATTGGGACGACCCATGAATTCCAACTTCTACCAGTTCACTGTGTCGCGTGCACTAGCGAATGTTATCGACGAGTATTTGTCATCACGCCCGGCTTGCTGTACCCCACTGGTCATGATTTCCCGCTACAGCTGAGGTATCTACCTAGCTGAGTATGACCAGTCACTGGTGGGTTCGAGGTCCAGTAAGTGCGTGCTGCCGAAGAGTCCCAAACTGCGACTTCTTTGTTGGTTGTAAAGTCATGATTTATGCAGGTTGTACTGATGTGATAATCTCATAGGACATCTTTTTGATTCGCTTATTTATCACTTTGTTTTGTGAGGTTATACAACCAATCAGATTTGTTGATTTGTGGCTTAAATTTCTGAGATTCTGTAAATATAATATACCATGTACTTCGTCAAATAAATGTTGTCGTCGTTGTTGTCTGACTCTCCTGTCTGCCTCAGCATGGGGAGATATTTTCAAGGGACCAGTTGGTTATAGTGTCGTGTGTTCTGGAGGTGCCTTACCTAGTCAAGTTAGACAGACCCACTAAGCAGTGACACCCCGTCATAGCAGCTCCACTGTTAGCCTGGTCTTCTCAATCTTTTTGTTGATAAAAATCAATGTTATTCTTATTAGACACGTTTGTTTTTCTTAATATTATTACAGCTTGAATCATCTGTATGCAATCTATGCATCAATATTCTGCATCCATTTGTATTTTATACACATGAAAGCGTTGAAGAATTGAGATTTTATCAAAAGCTAATCACATATTGTTATTTAATTGGACAATGGTGGAGAGTATTTCGTCGAAGCATAGAACCATTGACTGCGACAGCTTCCACCACCACCACTACTGCTGCTCCTATGAAGACTGATATTCTTTCGTCATCCTCAGTGTTATATAATAATCGCCACACTAATCATAACACTGATATGAAGGTTAGTTTCTTGTTGAATCATTATTATTATTATTATTATTATTACTATTATTCCCTTGGGTTCCGAATGGTCCACAGAGGGCTTCAACAACATACCTCCAGTTTCTCCCCTTCTCTGAAGTCCTCTTTCTCTAGCTAGCCCCTTGATTGTCAATAATCTTTCATTTCGTTGTCACACGTGATCTTCTCCGTATCAGCTTCCTATCTATGCTCAACTCATCGTTACGCGTTGGGGTTCCACTCGATGAACTGGCGTACGATGTCACTCTCAACGGTCGCGTCATCTTATATCCAGTCCATCCCCATCTTTTTCAGCATATTTGTTGGGCTATGGGTTCGTCGCTAGAGTTCCTTGTTGTTGGTTCTTTCCTACCAGTCATCTGATCTGCAATATGGAGCTAGTGAAGGCTGGTGTAGATGAAAGTCTGCAAGTAGCCTGTCGGGCATGTTTTGGGTGACACACCGAGTCTTTGAACCACATAGACACACTGGCTGAATTGACATTCGTTTTGAAAATCCGGATCTTATTCTTTATGCTGAGTACAGCAGATTTCCAGATCTATTTCAGATTATTGAAGGTCTGTCTTGCCTTTCTGATCCTGGGTTTTACATCTTCGTCTACGCTGCGTGTAGTTGATACGATACTGCCTAGAAGTGAGGACCTCCCAAGGTTTCTCCCGTTGGTAATGATTAGTGCTTGTTGTGGTTGTTAGTAGTTGGGTATCTCCATTACCCTTGCATAGTGAAATGATTGATTCTTACATAACATCTTTCTCGGTCTTATGAGTTTAGATACCTGACCGATATTCTGGAGCGTAACTAAATCTTGATTTTCAAGTATTGGTTTGTACAGATTTAATTGATTTCATTTTAAGTCACTAACTGATTTGTACTGTGCGTCGGTGGCATAGCGGTTAGGACGCTCGTCGACCATGCACATGGTCTGGGGTTTGATCCCCTGGCCGGCGCACTCCTTTACCTCGCTAAGCCAGAAATAATGCTGGTGAAGACGAAAGGTTGGGCATGAGGCTAGCAATCCCATCCCGTAAAATAAACACTGCTAAAGAAACTTCAAGTCACTAGCTTGAAGCCCTATGTTCCACTGGGGAACGTCAAGGAAAAAACTGATTTATACCAGTTAGAAAACCACTGAAGACCGAGGAGTCCTGGACATCTGTTTCGCCCTAGTTTGTGACTCTTCATCAGCGTGAATCTACAACGTCACTGGGAGGGGAATAAATCTAGGACCTTTAGGTTATAAAGCTTACCTGTTGTGACAATCCAAACAGTTTTCTCATTTGAATGGAATGCTAATCAAATCAACGAATTCATCCTCGTCCTCCTCCTCCTCCTAATAATAATTATTATTTACTTCCAGTTAAATGATGATCTAATTAGTGGTTGTGTCTTGCGTAGCTTAGATGATAAAGCGCCTGTGTGAAGCGATTTGGAGGTCGCTGGTTTGAATACTGTCACGATCGGGGTTTTCATTCTACTTTTATTAATAATAACAGCCTGGGAAAACCCATGACTATCTTAGATTGTTTCACCATGGATTATTTAATAAATGATATCAACGGAAATATTCGAGTGGAACACATAACTTCAGCGGCACTTTTTTTCTAATGCAATCTGTTCTTTGCCATCACTTTCAACGGGATTCACAACTGTCCACAAGCTTTCACTTCCTATTTACATCCTCTTCTTCATATCACCCTTGGAGCTACCTACGTTCAACTTGTCCTTCCTATTTGGGTGTAATGTCATTTGAGTATCTCCTCCGCATCCTTCTCTTCGTTCTTCTGTTGGCTGATTCGCCCAATACCAGAGTTCCTTTCTGACCAGCCGTCTGATTTTCACTGTCGAACGAGGACAGCTATTGATGAAGGGGAAGTCTAGTATTCGTTAATTATCAGTCATGGGTGTATAATAACTAAGTTTTTGGAAAAATGTCAACCAATAAACCGACCTTTCCGGTTATAATCCTGTCATAAACGAAACAAATATATTATATTTATTCTCAGTTGTTATGCGCTGAGAAAAAATCTATTCAAAACAACAATGAATAAATTATAATTATCCACTTCTGTGAATTTTTGTTGTATGTTCGAGTGAAATATCTATCGATTTATTTCTCAAGTTCTGTTCATATTTCATTCATCATTCTATTATACTACTGATTGGTATCAGTAGTACTAGTAGTAGTAGTACTTATTTGTCAGATTGAAACGATCATGATATTTCATTTGCTTTCTTGATTGCTATTTATAGAATCAAGCCCAATCGATAACTAATTGCTACCGTGACCTGGTAGTCGGACTTGCGTATCGCAATGACCCCCCCGCCACTAGCTACACTAGCTGAAGCTAATGTTTCTGCAACTCCTACTACGCCACAAAAGTCGTTTGGATAACGGTTAGACTAAAAGTAGTTACTGTCATTCCAGTGTAAGTGATTTACACTCACTCTGTTGAGGGTCTGTAGGTGAAGTTGTACGGCTGCCAAGTAGAGGTGTAGCAGAAGTGGCACAGCGGTAGAATGCTCGCCAACCACGCAGCTGGTTCGGAGTTCGACCCCCGGCTAACGCATACATACGTCCCTAAGCCAGTAGTATTATGACTGGTAAAGAGGGAAGGTTGGGCATGAGGCTAGCAACCCTATCCCGGAAAAATAAATACCAGTGCTATCGAAACTTCAAAGCTCTGCTTTGAAGCCCAATGTTCCACTAGGAACGTAAAGGAATAAAACACAACAAAACAAAGGTGTAGATATGATGGAGAAGATTTGTAGCTCAGGTGGATGATTTTGATGTGGTTGTGTTCTCCGAACTGGATGGTTAATTTGTGAAGCTTTCTTTGCCCTACTAGGAAACATCTTCAGCGCATACTTCAATCTGATGAAGTGAGCTTTTAGATTTCTCTACGAGTTCCTGGTGGTGACCTTGAGCGTGATTGGCTGTTTTCGTGTGTTTTCACACTCTCTAGTCTACTTGTGGTATTGGTATTGATTGTTTCCTTGATTTAAAGTTTGACCCTTTGTGTATGGGATCTCCTTATCGATTGGTAAATTTTGTCTATGTCAATGTGCCTGTTAATTGACGATTCACTGGAATACCAAGCTTTTGAAAATTCTCTAGCATTCTTGGTGTTTCCTCTGCCTAATATTTGAACGCTGGTGGTCCCAGTCGAACTGATATCTGTGAATGTGTGTATGTAGTGATATGAGGGAGTGAATGTCATGTCTTTTGACGACTAGCTTATGGTCATGGATACGAAGACGATGGGGACGTCCACTTTGGCCAATGTGGAGAGGGGGAGGGGGGATCAGGAAAGGTCGGCCGCGAAAACAGTACACCCAACCTACCCTAAGATGGTCCGTGGCAGGCAGTAAGATTCTAATATGGAAATAACTTCAAAATCTATTTCAATCAGGTCGTTTGTAACCGGCCTTGAGTAGTTGTCTCTTCTGGTCTTTACAGTCACACAGCACTAATGCTACTTCTATTGCAGGTACTCTAAGAAAAATTGAACTGCCGTGGTGTTGGCAACCGGGGAGCGAATAACTTCCCACCCCCGCCCACACACGCACACTTCTATAAACATACAAAGCGGTCAGACGGTAACCAAGCAGATCACATGTTTTGATCTGGTAGTTTGCAGCTCACGAATTTGATTTAATGTTTAGTTCATTTTTTATACTGTCATATATAAGCCCTAACTTATATGTATATATCAAATTACCATTCTTTATTTTTATCTTCTTATTACAAAAATAATATAATAGGTTGAATACTGTTCACAGAATAAATATCCTAAGATATTTCAATATCTTGGATTAAGCTCCCATCAGTTAAATGCACGTATACACCTTGCTGGTGTTAGTAGTAATAGTAATAATAATAATAGTGCTGTTGGAAGTAATGATACTCATCCCAGTGGTACACCTTCTAAATCATTCAGTTTTATCAATAACACTGAAAAGAAACAGTTGAATCAATATTCTTCGCATTATGATCAAATACTTATGGAGAGAATGAAGAATAAAGAAATTCCACAGGTAAGTCTATTTTGTTCTATTATGTTTGCATGTATGTATGTATTGGGTATATTGGGTTCAAGTCTCAGCGAGAAAAACAATCATATTCATTCATTGGAGATTGCAGGTACATCCAGTTGACGAGTCCAAAGATGGTGCGAAATGACATGCTCTGGATTCTACACTGCTAGTCATGATCCATGAAATATAATGATTGTTGGACGCCGGTAGGAATGCCTATGTTCTAGAATCTGTCGGAGGGTAAAGATATGATCAATACACCCTCTTCCTGGTCTAAAACCTGCCTGGTTTTCTCGTGTTTGTGCCTCCCCAGCACCACTTAGTCTACGCAATATTATTGAGACTAGAACTTGAGATACTATATTAGTCAAGCTGATCCCTCTGTGATTATCACAAGAAGACTTGTCTCCCTTCTTGTATATCGGGATGATCAGGGACTTACACCAACCCGATGGGACTTCCTCTGATTCCCAGACGCTGCCTAGAACCTGAGTTAATGCAGACAGTAAACTGTCTCCACCGTACTTAAATACCTCTGGAGTCATTCCATCAGGTCCCGCTGCTTTGCCTTGCTTCAGATTAGTGACAGCTTTAGTAACCTCAGTTAAGGACGGAGGACCTGTGTCTATATCCCATTCAGGGAGGTGTTGGATGTTCGGCAGGTTAAGTGTAGCTGTAGGCCAATTAAACTGCTCCTCATAGAGTTATTTCCAGCGTTCCAGTCGTCTATCCTAGGAGCTAATTATGGTGCCATTTTTCTCAGAGATTGTTTCACTTATCACTTGCCTTTTGCCACCTGTTTCCCTGATAAGTCTGAATAGTTAGGACATGTGTTACGTATGCCTAGTCATCGCCTTCCTCGACCGACGGACTATGTTAGCTGACATAGGGTGAAGCTGTAAAAGAGCTAGCGGCGGTCAAACGAAAACATGGTACCAGTCAATGAAATCTACAACAGTTAGTTCAAGTCAGCCACGTAGGAAGGTGTAGACTTCCTGACTGGTTGGGGTCCTCGGGACGGTAAAATCCAATGGTTGGAAACAATTGGTGATATGGCTCAAACTCATCGTTCTCAATGGCTGGTGCAGATGCATCCACTCCTTGTGACTAATGATTTCCAATGAAACTATATTGTTCTTCGTTATTACTATTCCTTTGTCTCACACCTCTGTTTACTGTCTCTAATATGCATTTCTCCTACTTTCTCCTCTTGCTTTGTGTGCTACATGGAGGGAGTGTGGCGACTTGAACTCCTGCACGTTGGTGCAAAGTTCTATGTCGAAAACAGACAGACAGACAGAGTCATGATTCATCGTGTAACATTACTGTTAATCCTAAGATATCGTTATAGCATCTGTACTAGGCAGGCGACGTACATGTCAACAGAAGCCGAACATCTGACTTCTGCAATTTATGTGTTATTATTATTATTATTCATTACTGGGTTCTGAAGGGAATGCTAAGCTTCAGTGACACATTTCCATTGCATTCAGTTCTCTACCATCACTTCCACTTAGCAAGACTCCGTGACTGTCTAGGAGGATTTCATCGCCTTTTCACATGTTCTCTTCTCGATATCACACTCGAAGTGTGATATGCCCAACATTGTGGCTGTCCATTCAGGTTGCTTTGGTTGTTTAATCTCACTTGAATGCTCATTCCATCTTCACTCCATTTTGCATAATATTTGTTGGTTAGATAACAGGTGGTTGTTTGCTGTCTGTCAGAGATCCTATTTACTTATGTATATACATGAAATTTTATTTGCAAAACATCTTGCTGATGAATATCTTTATATTAATTAAACACGGACTTGGTACAGTTATGAATATCAAAATGTATGCCCGCCACACCAACCAAACCTTATAATTTATGAGAGGGTTTTGATACTGCTCAAATGCCTAGGTCGAAGCGGATGGGTTGTCTTAAGGAGTGACCCTCCCAAGCTTTTGACTTCAAGTCTGAACCATATAGCAGTGGATGGGCGTCAAAAGCAGCTGCGTTCCCATTGTTTGCTGTGACCAAAACAGGTTCTTATACCATTCAATCATTTCGGATGCTGGAGTCGATGTACACCATAGGTTTAAAACGGGAGTTTTTCCGTTCCTCTAGGTAGACCGATATATATATATATACATAGGGCTTCAAGCGTTACCCTTAAAGTCTCAGTAACGGTAGTGTGGTTTTACAGGATGGGATTGCTTTCTCACGCCAGATCTTTCCTTCTTACCGGGCTCACTACCGCCTAAGTGAAGTTTTAAGTGTGCCTCGGCTAGGAATCGAACCTTGGATCACGTTGGTTGGTTGGCGACCATCCTGTCTCTGAAACACCGAAGCACTACTCGCTTGCATAACGATTCACCTTCATTATGTCCCGCCCATTATTTTAATAATAATAATAATAATAATAGCTTTATTCCAAACAGTATTTGTGGTACAGGTATGGAATTTTCAGCGTGCATTACAATATTGCATCTAATTACCTCATAAATTTTATAAGATTTTAAAATCGAAAAGCAACAACCAAAAGAAAAAAATAAATAAAAAAGAACAGCGTTGCGTTTACATTTTTAAACAATGCACCACAGGATATGAAATATAAAATTAGTGTGTAATAGAAGATGTGAACAACAATATAATAGTAACGAAGAAAGGAAAACAAAAACTAATGGGAACTATTTGTTAGAGTGCCACAGTAAGTTAATCGTGTCATACCTGACGGATTTCTCATCACATAACAGCTGTGCCAGATAAGGTATTGTGGAGTTTCTGTACTTGGTAGTCTTAGCATATAGCCTCCTATAGCTGCTTTAAGTTCTACCAAATGAAATGCAAGGAAAGAGCTGCGTATAGAGAGGATGCTCAGGGTCTGACAATATAGTATTCGCTAGTTTCTTACATGACATTATATGTCTATCCACAATAGTATTAACCAGTTGGTTTAACGATATCCCACTTGCCCTACTAACGGCTTTTAGTGCCCTTCTCAGCAAAGTAAAGTCTTTCTTAAGTAGTCCAGGAAAGATTAATGGGGAGCAGTAAAGAGGGATGGGTAGAATACAAGAATTGACAAACTGAGAAAGCAAATGTAGCTTCAGAAAGAATGAAAATAGGCCTCATTAACCAGCTGAAGATATTCATCTGTTATACTCACACGTCGTGGCGTACATGTTATACTGTCTACCTAATTAGGTGATATTTTTTTCGTTCGTCTTTTGAACTTCTGACACTTGGTTTTCATTAATCTACTGTATATCACTTATATGTATCTACCGTATGTGTCTGTCGTCTTAAATCCAATATAATCATATGGAACTGCAGTTTATCGGTCTAGGCGCCTCACTTCCAGCTATTTGGGTTACAGATTCGAATCGCATTCCACCTACTGAGGCTATGAGCAACCAGATAGAATCACTCGCCCTCACACACACACATACACAATAGGTATGGTTCATCACCAACTGCATAGAAAATGCAAGTGGTTGGCGATATGCTCATTGTTTCTAGTTTCCACTGGTACTATTCCATCTTCAAGCCTATTATGGCACATTCATCGAACTACTGATCCATTATCAGAAACTGGATCGTACTCCTAGTACGGTATAAGCAATTTTGGGAATCTAAGTTGTATATTTTGAAAGCAGAAGATCGGAATAGGCTTGAAATGGAATCGTCGTGTAAACAATGCTGATGTGTTTGTGTTTGTCTATGCAATGTTGACAATCATTGGCTGGATGATGGCCTTAACAACAAATCTCTATACATTGATTGGTCACTAGGTAGTTACCGATGTCATGTCGGTAAACATTAATGTTGGTACTGATTGAATTCTACCAACCGAATTTGTAATGTGGTCAGAAAATTGGGTGGCTCGCTATTGTGATGCACTCTGGATAGATGTCGGTTGCTTGAAGGTAATTAATAGGAAGACCTGGGCCCAGGTTTCGTGATTATTGATACTCGCCAGCAAAACGTATCTGTATTCATGAAAGAACTGGTGTTTTCTTGGAGATTCGCGCCTACGTCACCTAATGCTACAGTCATAGAAGTCATCATTGAAGCTACTCAAGCCGATGGTTGACCTCCTTGATGCCTGTAATGAATACAATGTTTGTTCACGGGGGACTAGTTTGTCAGTGTAATTTTAGTATTGGTCTAGTGCAGTTGTGTGTTCCATAGCTATTTATTTTTTTAAATAGCAAGCCATATGACAATATTGTTGGCTTAGAGATGAGCATATTACTGTCGCTCAATCTCTGTGTTGGAATCCTATGACTGAGTTAATCAATTCATGAAGTATAAAGCCATAAAAGTGGTGACGACTAGTGGGTTGCCCATTATCCCCCTTTCTATTCAGTTTCATCATAGATGTACTAATGGACTTAACCCTAACTCACTTCAGAGACTCAGGGATTGACTTGCTACCAGGGAATAATCTCGCTGACTTAGGATATGCAGACGATATAGTCCTTCTAGGCGAGGACGCTGACGAAATGCAGAGTCTTCTGAACACCTTAAGCTGCAATCTACGAATGTTTGGCATGCGATTCGCTCCCGCCAAATGTAAGATGATGTTACAGGACTGGACTATACTGACTCCTAGTTTAGAAATAGGGAGTGAAGTGGAAGAGCACGTTGACCGCTTCACTTACTTGGGAAGTACCATCAGCCAGTGCCAACGGGTTGATCTCCGACGAAATCTCAGTACGAATACAGAGGGCTAGGTTCGCATACGCCAGTTTACGCCGTCTCTGGCGTAGACGTGATATCCGACTATCGACCAAAGGGCGTGTGTACTGCTCATCAGTCCGCTCCGTCCTCCTTTATGGCTGTGAGACCTGGCCATTGAGAGCGGAAGACATGAAAAGATTATCTGTCTTCGATCATAGGTGTCTGGGTTCTATCTCCCGTGTGAAGTGGTTTAATAAGGTGAGCAATATTGAGGTTAGGCGTCGAGTGCTAGGTGGGTAGGGATGGGAAATCAATCGATGACGCTGTGAAGCGACATCGACTGAGATGGTTAGGACATGTGTTACGTATGCCTAGTCATCGCCTTCCACGACAATGGGCAATGTTAGCTGATATAGGGCCAGGCTGCAAAAGAGCTAGCGGCGGTCAAACGGAAACATGGCACCAGTCAATGGAATCCACAACAGTTAGTCTAAGTCACGTGGGAAGGTGTGGACTTCCTGGTTGGGGTCCTCGGGACGGTAAAAACCAATGGTTGGAAACAATTGGTGACAGGGCTCAAAATCGTTCTCAATGACAGTGCAGATGCATCCACTCCTTGTGACTTATGATTTCCAATGAAACTGTTTTGTTCTTCGTTATTACTATTCCTTTGTCTCACACCTGTGTTTACTGTGTCTACTATGCCTTTCTCCTACTTTCTTCTCTTGCTTTGTGTGCTACATGGAGGGAGTGTGGCGACTTGAAGTGCCGCACATATGTGCAAAGTTCTATGTCGAAAACAGACAGACAGACATAATGCCATAATTGTCCAATGCTTTTAGTAAATAACTGTCTCATCATAGCTGACTTGGTGGTGAAGAGGATGCAATTGTATTCAACAAAATAACTTCAACCAAGTTTATTTGTATGAAAATCAAGCTGTGTCTACTATAGTAAGGATTTTTTTATGCCTTACCTTCCGAGTCGAATATAAGGCTTCAAACTCGTTTAAAGTTTCAGTAGGAGTGGTTTTTTGCTAGCCTCATGTCCAACCTCGTGTCTTCTTCTGAACTTACCACCGACCAGTAAAGTTAAAGGAAGTTTAGAAGCACGTCGGTTGCGAATCGGATCTGTACCTCCTTTGAATCACTGATCCGTGTGTGTCTCTAAACATTTCCTATGTTATCTATAGATGTAATGTACTACTCCTTTTGACAGCTGCCAGAGTTCAATATAGAAGGTACAGTCTTATTTAGTCCCCCAAATAAAGAAAGTTACTATTATTATTATTGTTCTCTTGGGTTCCGAGTGCAACATGGTGCTTTAGCTACAAATTTTCCACTTTGTTCTACTTTCTGTGGTCCTCCTTAGCTGGCCTCACAATTGCCCATAGTCTCTCATCTCCTTCGTGTCACCCTCGCACCAACTACCGACTCATCGCTTCCCATTGGGGTTCCACTCAACCGATGGGGCCTGCATTGCACCTGATTTCATTCGACGGCCTCCTCAACGTATGCCCGTTTCCATCTCCATTTTCTCCTATATATTTGTTGACCAGTCGGCTCTTGGTTGGTTTGTTGCCAATCCTTTCTGGCCATTTGATCTTCAGTATGGAGCGCCTCGCCTAGTGTACTAACTCGTTAGTTTTCTAGCCGGTCCCAAGCCCGTGTAAAGAGGGCGGGTGTTGGGCGTGGGGCTAGCGACCCTATCCCAGAAAACCAATCAAACTGCTACAGAAACTTCAACGCACAAAATAATTACATACAAAAACAAACTTATTCTCCGCTGGAACCGGAGAGGTGAAATGATGCAGGCCGCGATGAAAGCCTTCGGGAAGCGCCAGTCAACCAGATGATGTGTCTTCTACTTTAGATGAAAGCAAGAATAAGAATAGGGACGTGGAATGTACGTACAATGTACGAAGACGGCTGGGAAGGCTGCTCAGGTAGCCAAAGAATTTGCAAAGATATGGCATAAGAGTGCTGGATATCTGCGAGAGCAGATGGAATGGGTGTGGAGTGTCGAAATTGTCAACTAGAGAGTCAATAATCTACTCCGGTCACCCAGACGACTACTAACCACTAACCTTTCATTAGTTCTCATCCAATACTATTACTACGCTAAATATCCAGGGTAAGCATAGTAGGAAGTCAGTTAACTGTGTGAAATAACTACGCCTCTCCAGGCAGTCTGTCGCCTGATTAAATTGACTATAGCTTAATAAATGAATTTTCAATTTATCCACTTAAGTGGGCGGGGGGGGGGGACATTGTTATAGATTTTTGTCACCGACTGATTGCTTTTTGTTTCTATTTTATTTATTTCTTTTCTTTTCTTCAGATTTTATGCATCCTTTTTCCACATCCTGATTCACCTGGACTACAGTTTGGATTATTAAATTCTGTGATAAATCTTCAGTGTGATTTCCATGATTTTAATATTGAAAGTAAGTTTTTCACCAAAAAAAATAAATAATTATTACTATTAAATAAAATTAAACTTTCAGGATTTCATCATGAATTGACTTTGGTTAGAGGACTATTGGGAAACCAGCTGGGATTACTGGACAGACAGCTGTTTTATCAGTCTAGTTTTGGGACTGTTCATCAATACGCACCCACACACCCACAGTGGGTTTCGAACCCAGGACCTTATGGTTACGAGGTGGGCTAGCTCATAAGCCACTGAACCACTGGGATCCGATTCTATTGGCCAGTCCATGAATTTCAACTTCTGCCAATCTACAACGTCAGTGTAGGCCATGTCATAATGGGACAGTGGCCAATGAATGCCTTTGTTAAGCAATAACTAGCAAACATAGCAGAAGCACCTCTATATGCAGCTGTAGTATTGCGTTAGAGCACTAGTCTCTAGTTTAGACAGAGGGGCTAAATTTGTTCCCTATACTTTCCTAGATTGTACATCTGTTCTTGACTCGGTGATACCTAAGGATATTTTAGTTAAAGAATCTTTCTGTAACTCACACTGAGTGTTGGGTTGTTAACTGGCTGTTATCTTATTTCTCAGGAAGAAAGCAGTACACTGTATGTCAGAGGAAGTCGTCCACTTCATTGCTTACTGGGACTGGCGTCCTTCAAGGTTCTGTCCTCCCTCCTTTTCTGTTTTATTTCTTCTTGCATGACTTACCTCCTTATGATGATGAAATAAACTTTGTTAAGTATGATGACGGTCTAACTGTTTCACTGCCTGTTAACACCCACTTAGACTGTACTCAGATGAACAGCTTTCTATCAGGAGTCAGCAAATGGTCTTTGTCTAATAGTCTTAAACTAGATCCTTTCAAATGTCAGACTGTTAATCCAGTTTACAATGTTAAAGAAGGTTAAATGAAGCTGTTAATTACCATGACCTTTGTAAAATTCATGATATTGATGTCGAAATCATGTCTATTGTTAAGTATCTTGGATTGATTCTTTCTTCTGATTTATTCTCGTCCTACCACTTCTTAGCGGTTTATAAAAAGAATATTTTGTCTAACATTTTACGTTAAGAAGTTAAGGCACTCAGGCATAACTCAACCCCTTCTCTTGCAGTTTGTCAAATCGTGCATCTTACCTATTCTTCTTTACTGTTCACCCTTATTCTTTCCTGGATTGCTTAAAAGAGACTATGTCATACTTCATAGAACTCTGAAGACTGTCAGTCAGTAGAGAGAGTGGTGGTATCCCGTTGGGCCATATCATTGACACTGTCATTGATAGGCACTTGATTTCATGCAACAAATTTGCTAAAGGCATTTTGTCAGACTGTGAGCATCCACCGCAGCACCCTCAGTTTTCTCCTTGTATCTCTTCAGGTAAAACAAGAAGTCATTTTAAAAGACTACGTGTGGACGTCTAAGTATCAAAATTCCACTATATCATATTTGGCACATATTTTATATGATGTAATTAGTGTCAGGCATGAACTAATTAATTAACCTTTCCACTGGTAAATAAACAATCTTCTCCATCCGTATATCAACAAGTTTTACTGTTATTATTCATCTTATGTTTATAACCCTCTCATTTATTTTGTTTATTTTTTCATAAGTGTAAACATCATTTAATTTCTGTAATAACTGTTATTTTTTATGTTTTTCTTTTCACCATGCTACCTAATAAGAACATTAGATTTAATACTCTATAACATGCTAAAAATGCCATACTGTATCTATAATATTATTTGAGAGAAACCTACCGTTATTATTATTTTTTTCCTTCACGTTCCCCAGTGGGACATAGGGCTTCAAGCTAGTGGCTTGAAGTTTCTGTAGCAGTGTTTATTTTACAGGATGGGGTTGCTAGCCTCATACCCAACCTTTCCTCTTCACCAGCATTGTTTCTGGCTTAGCGAGGTAAAGGAGTGAGTCGGTGGCCGGGGATCGAACCCCGGACCATGTACATGGTCGGCGAGCGTGCTAACCGCTATTCCACCGACGCTATTATTATTATTAGAGTTATTATTCGCATTTTATACTTTGCACACTTTTGACATTATTCCTACTGTACATGTGGACAAGTTCCTGTGGTTAATTTTATTTGTATATGGAGTAAACTGTATGCAATATTGTGACAATTGCTTGAAATTCCATGCTATATAATAGGCACTTTTTTGAAATAAAGCAGATTTGTTTTTACGAGTCTAACCACGGATTGATTGATGTCAGTTGGAGAGCCATTGAAAACCCGGGGATGGTTCCCTAACTGATATCAATCCGTGGTCAAGCTCGTAAAAACAAATTTGATCCTTACAAACCAACTATTGAAAATAAAGCAGATTATTATTATTATAGCATATACAGACGTTAGTTTCAAAAGGTCACTACTTATAACAACACGTCAGAAGCTTATTTTTTTCACCGAACAGGTTTAAGAATGATTGAATATTTTGGATTCGTTCTTTGCCTTCCGAGTATCATATAGTGCTTCTCTGTGATGCGCATCTCTTCTCTGTACACTGTTCTCTGCCATCATTTTGAGCCATCACGCCGGAAACTACTCACAAGCCTTCATTCTCTACTCACATTATCTCTTCATTGTCACTGTCGAAGCGATACCCAACTCATCGCGCTTCCTATTTGGGTTCCACTTGACTGTCTGGCATCTGATATCACTTGATTGTCTTCTCGCGTGTATTTTCAATTCACGTGTTTCTCTTTGTGACTGATTTTTCAATACTACGTTGTTGGTTGATTCGTTACTGGAGTTCTTTCTTGTTTGTATCTTCCTGTCGTCAGTCTGATATTGAATGAACTGGTTTTAATGAAGATGTGCAGTGTAGCCTATTGGACATGTTTTTTGTGGTACGCGCACCTGGTCTCTGAACCTTATACCAGCTACTAAATGACTTGACATTACTAATGTTGTTGTTGTTGTTGTTGAAAAATCCGAATTTCGTTTCATTATCCTGGGTGTAACAGATTTCCAATCTAAATTAAGATTAATGATGGTCTGAGAGAATTAAACACGCCGTGGATGAAAAACTTCGACCGGAATGGGGCTGGATTCAGGAGGAACAAGTCATGCATCAATCCAAATCGCAACACTATGGATCATCATTGAATAGAGCTTGGAATGGCAGTCACCTCTCTACCTCAACTTTATCGACTTCGAAAAGGCCTGTGACGGCGTCGATCGAGAGGTGATTTGGCGACTACTTCGCTACTACGGGGTGCTGCCAACAATTATACACTTCATCCAGCAGTTGTACGGTAATGCTGAGCATGCCGAGTAATCCACAACGGAAAACTAACGGAATCCTTCAAAGTGAAGACGGGAGTAAGACACGGCTGGCTGCCCAATAACTCCAGTGCTTTTTGTGATTGAGGGGGTAGACTGATTAATGCGACAAACAGCAGGTAACATGGAGACAGACATGAAATGGACTCACACAAAAAACATGGAGGATCTGGACTTCGCCGATGATATATGTCTGATTTCCCACAAACTGAAAGATATGCAAGTGAAAAGCGATAAGTTGTCGAGAAAAGAGGCATTAAAGATAGTACTTCCTTCAGGTGAACGTAGAGAAAACAGAGGTGATGAAGATTCCTGGCCAACAGAAACAGCAACAGACAGCAATCAGCATAAATGGGAGAAATCTGAAAGAAGCAACCTCCTTTATCTACCTAGCTCCCTGAGAAGCATTGTTTCACCTACAGGCGGAACTGATGAAGATATCAAAGCGAGGATCGGCAAATCAAGGGAAGCTTTCACTACTCTCAAGTGTGTGTGTGTGGAGATCAACAGCACTCAGCATGAGAAATAAGATCCGATTTTCAACTCTAATATGAAGTCAGTGCTACTATACGGATCAAAGACTTCGGGAGTCACGAAGGACACTTTGAACAAACTACAGACCTTCATAAACAGCTTTCTTCTCTCAGTACTCAAGATCAGCAACAGAGATCTCTGTGAGTGAACAAACCCAGCAGGAACGAATTGTGTAACAAATATTAAGAGAGAAATGGAGGTGGATTGGCCATACTCTGAGAAAACTATCAAGTCACATTACACGCCAGGCCATTGCTCGAGGGGAAGCCGAATGGTAAGCGGCGAGTTGGTCGTCAGTGAGAGAGTGACATGGAGGAGGTCATGAGAAGAAGAGATGAAAGTACGTGGACAGACGTGGAGTGAGGTGAATCCGTTGGCGGAGAACCGAACGCAATGGCGATGTGTGGCTGAAGTCCTATAATCTTTTAGGAACTAGAGGAGAAAATAATGTTATAATGGTCTGTCTTACTGTTTCGATCCTGGTAAGTTGAAACGCGACTGTCTAAGTAGATAAGGGATTGGCGTGACTTCCTTTAGATTTGTCCTGCTGATAATGACTGGTGCCTGTTGTTGATAATTGTTAGGTATCTTTGTCACCCCTGTCTTCTTTATGTATATCCGAATTCCTGCGTCTTCTCTGGTTGTTGATATTGTACAATAGTTACGGTTACAGTTATCTTAACACAAACAACAGAATTGTCACAGTAGTTAAAATACCAGGAATATTCAGCCTTCGTATAGCTTGTTGATGTAAAATATTACCTGCCATTGTATCATATGATTCTGTATTATTCTATTGGAGTCAAGGTCCAGTCTTCTATCATATTTCTTCTGAGAAGTACTCAGCTAGTGTCACGTTGAAAGCTGATTAAAAATGTACGGAAGTTTATGTAGAATAAATGCAAAAACTATAATTAGATAATTTATACAAAGAGTTTATATGAATAGCTAAAAATTTAGGTAACCCAGTATGATGTAATCAGGCCACTATCATTTATCTCATTCACTTCTCTGTCAATTAAATACTAATGAGTGAAGTTATCTAACTGACTGAGTTTCCACGTAGGATTTTGCACAGAAATGCAGCATTTCAACTTGCCATATTCCATGTCTGTCTGTTTTCGACATAGAACTTCGCACCAATGTGCAGCAGTTCAAGTCGCCACACTCC